CTCTGGTTAGCTCCCATTTTTCTTTTCCCAGCACTTCTTTACTTTATGTAAACTCTATGTCTTCATTTGAAAGTCTTAATTTATAAAAATAGGCTGAGCACACTCAGTTCTAATTAATTCTGCTGGCTTCCCTAAATTACCTGAAGCCCCCTTCTTCAATGATTCAAACAGCCTGTTACCTTCGTGGCCCTCATGACCAGTTGCCAATAAAATCTTTATAGCTCTCTGAGTGGCCTTTGTCTCCTTAGAATAACGTGAATAAAAAAGTGTCTGTCTCAGTCTCCTCCACCTAAATGTCTGTCTGTACCACAGCTCTTCACACTGAATGCAGCAGAAACAAACCCAGGGTTCACAAGGGCAGCGCTTCGGACAAGCAACCTCTACCAAACTCGGTCTCCCCCAGTTTGTATTTTTCTTCATAGGACATCTTGGCTACTTATTTCTCACTCTCTCTACCTAAACTTTGCATCACAAAATCTTGCAGTCTTTTCCCAGATTTCTTCTCACACAACCCAATCTTCAGGTGCTAAGTGTGACTTCAGACACACCAACTTTAAAATCTCTGGTTCAAAATCAGCTCGATTAAGGCATTATTTCCACTGACCCAGGGCACATTCACTTTACTGCCCTGCAGAATATCACTAATATCATCCTACACAAATATTGTATTGCAGTAACACCCACGCACAATGCTGACCTCTAAATGAACCAGGGGCTGCAGGGAAATGTCCGCAGAGGCAAACTATTCCATGTATCCCTTCATGAAGTTCTAAACTCTCTACTGTAGGAAATTCCCAATCTAAAGACACTAAATGGCCCCCAGAAGTCTTATATAGTCCTTCTAGGTAAATCCTTCCCATTCATTTCTTCTACCTATTCCATGATTCACCAGAGTAAGAAATTCCCATGGATCAAGTCCGAACCACTGTGTGAGAGGGATTCCTTTAATTCTCCTAGCCATGGTTAAAACAGACAGGCCACATGTATACACACTTCACTGTGCACACTCACCACACCTCCCCTTTTCCCTTCTCAGGGGAAAAATGTACCAAAACTGCACACAAATCTCAAAACTACACCAGCACTCTACACAGGCTTCTCTAGCCCTAGGTCTCAGTTGACCTTCTGCCCATAAATTGTCCTTGTCTGCCCCTCGGCAGAAATAATAGCAGCCTTCTACACAAATTCCACACTGTAATTAATCTTACACAAAATATTGCTCTCACTACAGGCAGGAATTCCACAAACACAACTCCGTATCATATATCAGAACTAAACCATGAGGGTTGTCCTCCCAACTCATTTTGCACTGTTCCAAATATTCTTCAAAAATACCTAAATTCTCGGGATGACCTTTTCCACAGACTAAATTCACTATCTCACATTCAGTATGTGCTCCCTCCCAGTTATAGTACTGTGGGAATTCTGATTCTGGGAAATATCTGGAGCACACGGGTCTCCACCTGTAAAATATACAATGCCACCTTCTATGACACCTCTTGCAATGAAGAAGGACACAAGCCTAGTGCTACCCAGGTACCCAGTAGAAAATTGTCAGATTACACAAAAAGCAAGGAGTTACTCCTGGTCTTCTCTACCTCCACAGATTTCTGATGTAATCTTCTGCTGGGGGTAACTCCCAATCAAAAGCTAAATAACAGTTCGTTCAGCTTGAATATCTTCCCCTAAAAACACCCTTTCTGTCTTTCTATCCTGCAATTTATAACAGCCCAATCTCCTCCTATAGCCAAGAACTCATCTGGTACAAGCCCAAGCACCTTAAAGAATGCCTCTCTGGACAGTTGAGCCCTTGCAGTTTGAGCCCAAGCTTTGCCAGCCACTCTAACAATTTATTAAAAATAAACATCACAGTAAATACAAAAACCAAAACATCAACTAAAAAAACCAACTAGTTGCTAGTATAACTTTTGACACAAGATAACAGTGTTGTCTTAGAAATGAGCTAGTTACCAGCTCATTGCAACTATACCTTTTGACACAAGATAGTATTACCTCAAAAATGCACAATATCCTTCAAAAGTAGTGACAACTATGATTTCCAATAACAAGAATCAAAAATCACATATTTCATCAAACACACACACACACACAGAGTCAAAAATAGCAGTAAATAAAAGAATAGCAACAATACACAGGAATTTGCCCACTTCACCCCCAGAACTGCTAGTGGGTCCCCTTGACACGGCAAATTACCCTTTAGCCAGCAACCAAATCCTTCAATGCACACAGGGCTTCCCCCTGTGACTTACCAACTGCCCCCTCAGCCACGTGTACATACAATTTAGAGATTAATTTCTGTAATTATAAACATACCCTTTGTCCGTAATGCCAGCAGTTTTGTCTGTCCCCACAATGAGCAGACAGGGAGTGAAGGTCTCTCCAGGAATATCCCAGTGGCTCCAGGAATATCCCAGTGGCACCTAGAGGTGTCCACAGCCCGGCCTGGTCTCGCAGTAAATGGAGGAGTCCTGCTGCAGTTGCCAAAATGATGCATGGACAGAAGACTCTTCAGCTAATTAAAGTTGAAAAGTGACATGTTTATTCATCACGCTGGGCACACTTGGAGGTAGTCCTCCAAAGATGTGTGGATTTCCAAAACTGTAGCTTCTCCATATATCTACAAAAGCTCTGCATATTCATAAAGACACGCAGACACCTATACATATGCATCACCTGCTCCCACTTGGTATTACAATGAGCTGAATGTTCATTACGGCTGCGCAGTCATCTTCTTGAATTGGGTCAGTGGGCTTTGAAATGGGTCAGTGGGCTTCAGAAGATGAAGTAAGGGGTCTTCCTCATGGTAAATTGTTCACCTTTATCTGGTTGCCAGGACTTTGTGACCTCTTGGTCATGGTCCAAACTCTCTCTCCTGGGCCCAATCATTGTTAGAAGCCAGCTGTATTTGTTGTTCTTACCCTTTTATAATACTTCATGTGTTCCCTGTCATTTCTAAGAATACATCCAAGTCAAATACATGATACATTGTCTTCGCTTCAATTATCCCCATCTGGTAATAATTACTCTTTTCCTAATCTCCTTGTTAAGCCCCTAATCAAAATATATGGCCTTCATCTTACTAGCTACATTTCTAACTTAACCCCTTGCTTCACAGTCACTTCTGAATATGTAGACTATTCAACTGTTCCAACCAGGCTGCCTCTGTAAACAGTCAGCTGCAATCTGGCAGAAAGCAGGCTGACTCCAGTGCATTTCATTCATGTGCCTCACCAGACTGGCCCTTGGTACCACCTTTATCTAGACTCTTCGTCCAGATGGAATGTCCTGTTCCTGTTACCCTGGATAAAGGAGAGAAAAGTTGCTCTCTGAAACCAGAAAGTCACAAGCACTAGTTTTTCACAAAACAGCCATTTACTTCTTCCTGTGCTGGGCTTGGTTTGGTTTCTCTCTCTCAGGGGATTTTAGGATATTCAGCTGGGAAGTAGGAGACCCAAGTCATTGAAGCCTCTGCTTTGAATCAGACTTGGAACTTGACCTGGGGTCTCCTCACCTCAGCTGCCTACTGTTCTGAAGTGACTCTGCCAGTCAGTCTCTTGCTGTAAACAGAAATACCACCCTGCAGCAAATAAACCTTTTGGTTCTTGTCAGAGCTATGGCCTGAAACTGTGACTCAGTTTGTTGTTTACATAGCAAGGGTATTAGAATGTTGCCAGGCAAACTGACTTTACAAGGACACAAGGCAGTCCTCACCTGGCACTCCAGTGCTCAAAGTCAGCAGCAGTATGAGGCAAAATGTTTTAACCTACTTTGGAATATTTGCACAATATTTTCATACTGTACTTGATTTTATGCTGGACTCTTCAGGACGGTGTTTTAGAGATACGCAGTTCTCCCAGACTGGAAAACATCCATATTTCACTCTGAGTCATTTATGCTGTTTCCTTATTCAGAAGGATCATTAAAGTCCAGCTGACTCAAAACAGGGCACAACACTGTCCTCTGAAAGTGAATAAATAAATCCTCAACCTAGTTACAAAGTAATAATTTCACTGCTTTTTCCTTGTTTCTCAGGAAGATTCTTGCAGTCAGCAAGCTCAGTGAATCTTAAAAAAAGTTCCCTCCTGTATTGCTTTTAGAACATAATTAGCTAGCAAGCATCATTAAGATACAGACTACATTAGCATAGCTACCACTGGCAGAGAACAGAAACTTATTAGTGAACCAAAGTAAAATCCATTTTAGCCTAATAAACCCTTAGCCTTTTAAGGTGACTTAAGAGCATAATGTGTAAGATCCTTCTAGTTGTTCATGTAATCATGAGGAACTAGCAGATACTTAAGGGATCTGTGAAAAATTAAAGAGCAGCAATTCCTAACCATCTTCAAAATTTTATTGATTACTAGTTGTATCCTATAATATTTTAGGGGATACCTGCTTGCCAGTGTAGATGAGAGCTCACCTATATACTATCTGCTCTTCTAGCAGTTGTCCAGCTCTGTGACCTCCTTAACATCTAAAGATGACATGTGAGGCAGCCTGACCATACCTCATGAGACATTTTTACTCTTCAGTCCTGAGTACCAAATAGAGCCAGTTAAATTATGGCTAGTCTCCTAAGGAGTCCTACTTTAAAGCATAACCTAAGAGAGTACAATCTATTCTGGGCAGCATTTGCAATGGTAATGAGATAAGGTTTTGTTTATTTATTATTTTGGGATGTTTTACACAAGGTTAAAGAGACTGAGCTAATAGGAATAGTAAAGTATGACCAGAACAAGGTGTGTATTGATGAGGAAGGATGGGACAAAACACAAACTTGATAAAAAGGGAGGGAAAAGGAAACCATCATTTCAAAAATGGCTACTGACCACAACTATTACATGGCAGCAGTAAACATGCAAGAACCATGATCTTTAAGTTACCTAATTTATTAATTTTCATAATTTCTGAGGGCAAATTTCACCTGTGTCAAGCAGTATCTTATTCATGGTTTTTAATCTTTCTTACTCTACTTGTAGGCCTTATCAATGTCTGGATTATTCTGCTGGAAGAATTAACAACTGCTATATCCAACTGTCCCCGTCAGCACCAGCCTCCTACTTTGGATCTGCTCTTTGAGTTGCTAAGGGACGTTGCCAAGACACCTGGTAATGAAAGGGCCTGATGAAATGTGAGCTAGTGGAGTCCTAACCAAACATTTTAGACTCCTTAGCCATTTCTGTAAAGTATGTTACTTGTGTTAAAGCTGCACAGAGACATTCTCTGCTAGAAGGGGATTTCCTCAGAGCTGATAAGTTGTTCCACTTAGTCCATCATTCTGTTGACTAAAGGCATCTTGTAAGAGTATATTGAACATATGCCTAAATTCATTGCACAATAAAGAGGTGTGGTACTCTATCAATGTGCTAGCCACAGAAAATGTTTGCTTCGTGTCTAGCAAATGGAAGAGAAAATTACATAATCCTGCAGATCTGCTGGAAAAGACTGCAGGTAAACAGTTGGCTAAATGTACCTCATAACTACATCCAAGTTTTGCCACTCTCATCCCACAAAAAAGTTTCAGAACCTGTTTCCTTCAGCATTGCCTCAGGCTTCAGCTTGGAACAAGTTAGCAAATTTACTGAGCATGTAGGCTTTGTAAGCAAGTACATACAACCATTATTGTGTTTATTTTAAGGACCAGGATTTGGCATTTATGCAGTTGTACATCTTCTTCTTCCCACGATGTCTCTTTGGCTCCATCGCAGCCATGGTGACCACTCTTACTGGGATGTGGCATCTTCTAATTTCAAGCATGCCATTGGCCTTTCCAGTGAACTTGTAGTGGAGCACATTCAGAATTTCATACACTCAGGTATGTCATTGTAGTGTCATTTCTACTGTCATCAGTGACATGTTGCTGAATAGATACTTGAGGAGGTGGTTTCATTGCTTTTTTGGTTGCTTAAGCATAAAATAGGAGGAGATATAAGAATTTCTGATTGGGATTTTTTTTTTCTTTATAGGGTTTAGAATTATGGGGAAAAAATTGTAAGACATTTATGGAAGTTATTTAGACTAGGCTCCTTCTCAGAGCAGGGCTATCTTCAAAATTAAAAGATCATAATCTTTAGTATATTCCCAAAAGAAGATGCAAAGACTTTGATCATAAGGAACTAGAATATCAGAAACAGGATCTAACATAATTTCTCCTGTACCACTTCAGTCCAGACATTTTGTATTGTTAACTTAAAAAGGATTGTTCTTCTTTCAGCTTGATGCAATGCATGTTTCAATAGCTGCATAAAAAGCATATGGTTGCAAATTCTCTGAACAGTACTAAGTGTCGCGAGACTGTTTATCTCTAATTGTAATGAAAAAGCAATGATGTTAAAACCAGTCTGTGTTTTTTTCCTTATAGATATTGGTTATGAAAATATGATCAATACTATGTTGAAAGATCTTTTCAAGTTACTGGTAGCCTGTGTAGCAGAACCAACAGAAATTATTTCCAGAGTTGGCTGCTCCTGTATCAGGTAACCCAACCTGTTCACTCTTAGCACATTCAAAAAAGATGTCTATGTCTTTGAAGAACTTGTGGACTGATAAGTTGGTTAACATCTCAAAAGAAGTCTACAATATGTCTTGGGTCTTTTTACTGGAATAATGGATTTTAAACTTATTAACCTTTTCTTGCTGGTTTCAGTGTGCTTCAGAACCTGTGATTTTGGGCATTACTATGTGTATGATTCTCAAAAAAAGCACTTGCACATTACTTATATATAGTTAGTCAATAATTGATCCTTAAGGAAAAAGGTCTTCTCTTGGCATTCACAGATCTTTAGAGGTAATTAGCACCTTTCTCAGTCTTCAAGTTATTACAGTCATAATCAAAATAAGCACTGCATTTATACAGTTACATAGCGTGTGGTTCTTGTGGCAAGATGTCTACTTAAAGAGGAAAAACAAAGGAGAAAGAAAAGTCAAAACTATAGTGTAATTACAAAAATAGGTCAGGATAACAACTGAGGAGATTGGATAATATTAGCTAGCTACTGAGTAAGCCTTTTGTTCTGTTTTTATAGATCCATAGAATGGTTTGGGTTGGAAGGCACCTTAAAGATCACTTAGTTTCAACTCTCCTGCCATGGGCAGAGAACTTTCCACTAGACCAAGTTGCTCAAAGCCCCATCCAGCTTAGCTTTGGACACTTCCAAAGGGGATTTTCAACCTTCTCCCTTTAGGAGTAAGAATTGTCTAGTTCCTTCTTGAACGTGGTAGCATTTTACTGTGTCCTTGCAGGTATGTGTTGGTGACAGCAGGGCCTGTTTTTACTGAAGAGATGTGGAGGCTTGCATGTTGTGCCTTGCAGGATGCATTCTCTGCCACTCTGGAGCCAGTAAAGGTAAAACTGCCATTTTGCTGTCAGTCAAATGCTGTCAGTCAGTTAGTGCATCCACTGTATGCACTGTAGTGCATACAGTGGATGCACTAACTTTTGACAAGTTGATAATTTTTCAACTCCCAATTTAACATGTTGGATCAACAGTGGAGGTTGAAATCAGTTTTTCTAAATGTATACGGACCACACTAGTACCTTTCAGTTCAGACTTATTTTAAATTGGCTTGCCAGTATGAAATCAGAAGAGTTTAATAGGTGAAATTTTCCCTTTTGATCAATTTCTTCCTCTGGATTTACAAAAACTAGGTCGAAGACAATGTTGTTTTGCTGTAGCTGCATGCTCCATATAGACTAATTTTCAATTCACTGTCTGTTTTGTAAACAAAAAATCCTGTGAAGTCTTTGCAGACCAGCATCCATAAAAAGCTGCCTTTACATTGGTTCTATTAATTCTAGATGGCAGGTGACCAGCTGGTGGGATGGCAAAGGTCACTGAATCCTGCATTTCACACAAATAGGCTGGACATGGCTACAGTCATTTGTTTCCTGCACAGTGAAATTCTGATGTTGTGTCTCTCTGTAGAACCTGTTGGGCTATTTCCACAGTGGTACTGAAAGCTTCAGTGGAGATGCCTGTGAAGTGAAGGTGGCAGCCCCCTCCCTCTCACCAAGTGCTGAGGCTGAGTACTGGAGGATCAGAGCCATGGCACAGCAGGTACTGACAGATGTTTCAGGGGAAGTCAGAAAACCTTTTAAACTTGGAGTTTTCTTTATGAAGGTGTGTTTTTTACACCATCTTCCTCACAAACCGTACAGGCAAAGACTTTCTCATCACCAGGCTAACATCAATTGTCTGGTAGTAGGATTCAGAAAAATTAACAAAAACTAGGAAAAAAAACCCACAGAAAACATCAGAACTGTCACCCTGTAGACAGGAATTTGAAATGCCTAGGATGGGAAAAATGCATGGGTATCTAGAGAAGATTGACAATGATCCTACTGTGTAATGTAATTTTAAAAATTGCCAGGATACCTTAGTGGAGGTGTTTCTGATAGAGAAAGGGAAATAGTAGCATCACTGTGAATCCTCATCAAGAATGTCACATAGATTTCTGAATACTCTGTTAAGGAATGATAAATTCAAAGGACAAAAACTGCACTAGAACAGAGATGGTGATATGAAAATAGGAAAACAAGATTTGATTAACTTATCCAAGCATTTTTCTCTATAAATACCTAGGTATTTATAGGCAAAGAAGAAAAAGGGTTACTGGGAACTAGAGGATAATGCTGACATTTAACAAATTATTCACTAACTCCTAATCAGAATCAGCAGAGCAAACTTGGAACCTTCTTAGGGTTCTTTTGACTACAATGAAGGTTATTTATTCTATGAAAGTGGTTATATTATATGAAACAAGTTCTTTGAAATACAGCGGACTGAACCTAATGACCTGCAGGATACCATAAAACTGTAAATACCATATGACAGTTTCAGCCTGGGAAAGCAGATAGATTAAAACAGCCAGCAGATGTTTGGTGTCAATTTCTGACTTGATAAATCATACTGATAAATCATACTATGATGCTGCTTGAGAATCTGAGACACACAGACCAGGACTGGTGATCACAAATAATGTGGTAGTGGCAGACATTGTTTGAATAGAAAATGTGTTTAAAATTAAGTTTTAAAGATGCAGAACTCAAGAAAGCAGGCAATGTAACATTAATACTTTTCTTGTAGACACTATCAGTGGCACTCCCTGAGTCCTCCGCAGTGAGGATTTGCTACAGCTAGGAAGCTACAAAACAAAGCCACAGCAATTGAGAGTTGTTTCTCTGTTTCCCACTGAACTGAGTTTGGTTGGGATGGAGTTAATTTTCTTCCTAGTAGTTGGTACAGTGCTGTGGTTTGAATTTAGTATGAGAATAATGTTGATAACACACTGGTGTTCTAGTTGTTGCTGAATAGTGCTTGCACTAGGTCAAGGACCATTCAGTTTTCCATCCTCTGCCAGGAAGGAGGGACATGAGAAGCCTGTGGGGGAACATGGCCAGGACAGCTGTGGAGACTGGCCAGAGGGATATCCCATACCAAAGAGTGTCATGCTCAGTATGTAAATGAGTGGAGTTGTCTGGCAGGGGCTGCTCAGGGACAGGCTGGGCATCAGTCACTGCGTGATGGGCTGTACAAGTTTTATTTCCCTCTCTTTTTTTTTCTCTTCTTTTTTTTTTTTTTTGTTGCCCTTTTTGTAGTGGTGGTCATTGATACTACTGTATTTTATTTGAATTATTAAACCACTCTTATATCAACACATGAGGTTTATCTTTTTTTCCATGATTCCCCTCCCCATCCTTGAGAGGGATGGGGTGTGGGGAGTGGTAAGTTTGTGGCTGCTTGGTATTTAGTTGCTGTCTAAATCACAGCACACAGATTGTGGTTAAATCACAGCACATCCCCAAAGGATTGCATATTAGGTGTCTGTTGTATCTTCATGGTTGAAAATAATCCTTCCAACAACCAACCTTTCTAGGTGCAACTGGCTAACTGTGCAAGCAGATCCTTGTCTCCGCTGCACATGGTGCTTTCAGATAGAAGCATACAGACAGCAGAAGGCTTGATTTGGTAGAAGGCTTGATTTGGCATTTGGTGTTGTGCCTTAAACAAATTCAAAGAAAAATATGCCTGTAATTTGCCCTGCATCCTGCTGGATGTCTGGAGGCAGCCCATTGCTGTTTTACCAAAGTAGCATACTCCAGGAAAGGTCTGCCTGGGGGGATACCTTGCATTCTCTCTATCACTGTAAAATAATTCAGAATGACAGATATTTCACACTGCAGGAAATCCTATTCCCAGCCCCTCCCCCACTCCAGACCCACTGCAAGTGCTAAACTGATTGTTTTATGCAACTTGTTGCTTTCTAGGTCTTCATGCTGGAGACTCAATGCTCCCCAAAAACCCCGAGCAACAAGGAAGGGTTTGAACATGCCCAGTCGTGTGTGCTCATCATTGACCTGCCACCAGATAAGAAACCAAATGGGCATAACCAGAGAAGGTAAAATATCTTCCAAGGAAGACACTGTGTCACTTAAAGCAAGATAAAAGTATTGCTGAATAGGAAGAGATGTGAACTGAGCCTGGTAAATCATACCCCTCCCCATAGGGCTCATCAACAAAAATGAATACACTGATCAAATTAGGTTTTGTGACACTGTTGTGGTTTTAGTGACAGCTAGCAAATGCAATGTCTGCTTCACTAAGGGTCTTTTAAATTCAGTATTACTTGGTTAAGAAGGTAGAAAAAGGTAATGGATGAACTGGGGCATTATAAACCGAAGAGACCACATCCAAAACTGCAAAGCTGTCAACACTGAGCTAGGGAGCGTTGTTTTTTCTTGGCACATTATTTTTGTGGAAGTCTTTCTGTTGTGTTACCACCTGAGAAACTCCTCTGTTTGCACTACAGTCTGATCCTGTGAAAGAGTATTTCCTTTTGCTTGCACATGGTTGTGTAAACAGCTGCTGTACCATCATTTGGGCCAAGAATCAGAATTCTGCATTCAGGGTTTGTGTTTGTATTGCAAGGCAAATAATGGCATGACATTGTCTTTTATGAGATACCGAACATGGTTTTATACCATTCAAATCTAAACTACTGCTTGCAACAAGGAGCCAGAATGTGATGGTCCTTCTTTGGAGGGACAGGAAGAAAGACCATGCAAGATGTCTCTTACACTGCTGTACAGAAGTTTTCAGAGCAGGTGCTCTGTTGCCTCACCGTCAGAGAACAGGCCCCTGCACAGCGACAAAGAAAGCTTAAGGTCACAGGTTAAACCATTCCTTTATAGGGGGAAATATCTGCTTTATCCAAAGGCTAGCAGGTCATTCTTCTTGTTACCATGAATGCAAAGCAAGACTGGAATATTCACCTCTCATAACACCTAAGGCCATGCAATCTAACAGGCTGTGTTTGTAAGGGCAGCAAGGGTCTTGCTTGTCTTTAAACAAATAAACAAAGCTTGCAATTAAGGCAAACTCTGAATGCTCTCACACTGTGCTTTGTCCAACCAACTGCTAAAGATGTCTATGCCCATAGCCAAGTGTTGTCCCAGCAATGCTCATCACCAAAACACAGCTCACAAGTTGACTGTGCCACTATTTTCATATTATTTGCTACAGCAGTGCAGTAATATGGCAATCATGCATGATAGTAAATGTGGCCTTTCCAAAAGTTTTACTTTAACCTTAGCAGGGTTTCACTTCTCCCTTTTGGTTTTGTTTCCTTAATGCTGCATCGTTTCACAGGAAGCTGGGGTAAGGGAGCTTTTTTTCTTCCTGAAAAATAATAATATATTTCAGTTTGAGACTTTGGACAGAGTAAGAAAATACTATCCTTAACCAGCTTTGCCATTGTGTTTTCACGTGTAGTTCTCTACCAGTTTCTTTTGGGATTGAGCAGTACTTTATACTGTCCTTGTAAATTGCTTTTTTGGCTATTACAAGGAAAGCAGATCTCCTTCATTCCTGACCCTGCTTTTGGAACAGGATTAGTTGCTTGAAATCACTGCAAGCTCTCATTTAACTTTATACATGCTCTTAAGAGCTTTTTTGAGTCAGAGCCTCTAATGATTTTTACATCAGAAAACTACTTCCCCATAAAGAGCTCAACTGTATTAACATTTTATCACTGATAAGTAATAAGACTACTAAATTTTACTGATGTATCAGCTGTGTCATGGTAGGCAAAGTGACACAGGGAACGTAACTGAATAACAGCTTTGCCTGAACTTTTTAAAAAAATGTTGTATTCTGAAAATTGGGTTTTAATAGGATTTCCCCCCCCCAAAAAAAAAAAGCTTTTTGTCTAGGTGTTCCCAAACACTTTTGAAAGTTGTTTAATGAAAGCAGAATAATTTTTGCAACAAAAAATGTCAAAGGTCTACAACTGAACTTCTCATGTTACATGAAGATTTGCTTTGAATTGACCTAAAACTTCAGTATTGCAAGCAAACTGAAAAATCTCTTCCTTACTTGATAGCTGTGCTAATCAAAACTTGACCCATCACATCAAACTGAGTATTATGATGTGCATCAGCTTCATTTAGAACATTGTCCTGTAATCTTACATAAAGACCTTTTTTAAATACTTTAGGTTAGGTTTAATAATAGACCTTAAGATAGGTTTATAATTTGAAATCCATGAGATACCAAACAACAATCCTGTCTTTTTTTCCAAGCCTTGCTTGCCTGTAAGCCTCTCAGTGTTATTTACTGGTGAAAGACCCGAAAACTTTGGTCAGAGGCATTTACCATTGCTGTGTCCCCTGTGCAAATCAAACATCAGTGAGGGCTAAAACAACTCCCAGCATCTCTCTAACAGGAGCACAGCTAAGAATCACCCAATATTGTAAGTGAGGAACAGGATTAGGAATAGGTATGTCCATGCTAGGCTCTCAGTGTTTAAGTTGAAGTCTTAAGAGCAAGCAATGAAATGTGCCTTCAGCCAGACTTCAGCTTCTTTGCATGCTGCATTGCACTGCTGATGTTTCTGTACATGTTTCTTTATTAGTTGAATACCTCTTCATGGTTTATTTTTAAGAAGTACTCCTGGGCATTAGTGGAAATGGAAACTGACTAGTAAACTAGTTTTGGCCCCAATTTTTCATGGCAAAATAAAGATTTTCTGACATGTTGGTAGGAGAATAATTTGTGCGTTAATAAATTCCTCAGATATAGCAGGCTGAAATATCTTAGTGTGCTTTTATTCTTTGTACAAGCACAATGCACCATTTTAATATTCTGTGATTTTTTTTTCCTTCCATGCTTGGTTTACCAAGTATTCCTTTCAGGACAATAGTAGTGAGCTTGCTGTCCCACCAAGTACTGCTCCAGAATTTATATGACATCTTACTGGAAGAATTTGTGAAAGGCCCTTCTAACTTGGAGGAGAAAATGGCAATACAAGTACCTGAAAACAAGTTGGCTGGTTTTCTCAGGTACATCTCCATGCAAAACCTGGCTGTCATCTTTGACTTACTCCTGGACTCCTACAGAACAGCCAGAGAGTTTGACACCAGACCTGGGCTGAAGTGTTTGTTGAAAAAAGTGTCTGGCATTGGTGGAGCTGCCAACTTGTATCGCCAGTCAGCAATGAGCTTCAACATCTACTTCCATGCCTTGGTTTGTGCAATCCTGACAAACCAGGAGAACATCACTGCAGAGCAAGTGAAAAAGATCCTCTTTGAAGATGATGAGAGAAGCACAGACTCCTCACAGCAGTGTTCTTCAGAAGATGAAGACATTTTTGAAGAAACTGCCCAGGTCAGTCCCCCACGAGGCAAGGAGAAGAGGCAGTGGAGGGCTCGAATCCCATCTTTGAGCGTCCAGCCAGTCAGCAACGCAGACTGGGGCTGGCTGATCAAGAGGCTTCACAAGCTCTGCATGGAGCTGTGCAACAACTACATCCAAATGCATCTGGACCTGGAGAACAATGTAGAGGAGCCTCCAGTGTTCAAAGGTGACTCTTTCTTCATTTTACCATCTTTTCACTCAGAAACCTCCACCCCATCAACTGGAGGGCTGTCTGGAAAGGACACACCATCAGAAGATGACCGAAGTCAAATCAGGGACCCGCTGGGAGACAGCTTGACACCTCGAGGAGGGAGTGGAGAAATATTGCTGCTACCCCCACCCCTGAGTCCTAAACCAGAAAAAAAAGAGCAAACCAAGAAAAAAGAATGGTGGGAGAGTGCTGGTAACAAAATCTACACCATAGCCACTGACAAAACCATCTCCAAGTTTATGACAGAATACAAGAAGAGAAAGCAGCAACAGGCCGTGACATCCTTCACCAAAGAGGTCAAAGTGGAAAAGAAAGGGGAACTCCTGGGTTCAAGAGGGCCAGACTCACCTGTGCTCCAGCGGCCTCAACATCTTCTAGATCAAGGTCAAATGAGGCATTCATTCAGTGCTGGTCCAGAGATCCTGAGACAAGAGAAAAGACCCCGTTCAGGGTCCACAGTCAGCTCCCTGAATATATCTATTAGGGATGCAGAGGCCCAGATACAGGTAGGACATTCTTGTAGAAGGCTATTAATAATAGCAATATATAAAAACATTTATGTTATTATGATATTTTTGTTAAATATTGTATTATATAATGAAGTCCTTATGATGAGGACTGAATCTTTAGGAGCTGTAATTAATAAAAACCTGATTTCGCCCTGTTAAAAGAAAGTCAGTTTTCAGGGAGGTGTCATCAGGCATATACTAACTCAGCTGTCGAGAGTGCTTCTATGACTGGGGCCAAAGCTGCCCTTAATCCTGAGAACTGACAACCTACAGCAAACTCGTTGCTTACTGCTATGGGCTGTAGCTCACTGAAGGCTTTTGAAAATGCTATGCTGCTTGACACATTGCTTTTGTACTTAAGAATGGGATTTTTTGTTAATTCCAGAGAAAAATAATGGGTTCTTTTGCTAAACAAAAGCTTGTTGTTTGCATGTCCAAGTGAACAAATCAGTGAAAGCATCAAACTTGACAGGTTTTGTTCAGTGTGGGACAAAAAAAGGAAAGGGTGAGCATGATACCTGCAATACAAAGTCAAGTGATTTTGGAACATTAAATGAATATGCTGGCATTACTCAGTCTGCTCCATGAGGCTGCAGCCACCAGATACCTTCTTTTCTGCCTCAACTACTGGGCTCAACTATTTAGAAAGGTCTTCTAAAGAGGTTTTTTTTAATCAAATTTCTTTGTAGGCATGGACCAACATGGTGCTGACAGTTCTCAACCAGATTCAGGCTCTGCCAGACCAGACTTTCACAGCCCTGCAGCCAGCAGTGTTTCCCTGTATCAGCCAGCTGACTTGCCACGTGACAGACATCCGTGTCCGCCAGGCAGTGCGGGAATGGCTGGGAAGAGTGGGCCGAGTTTACGATATCATCATTTAAACCAAGCTGTGCTCATTGCAAAGGGCAGAGGACATGCAAGGTATACAGCAAAGAAGTACTTGGGGTTCATTAATTGCCTATTTGTTGGTGAGAAATTAAGAAACAATGAGCTTGTCAATTTATATTGTCTGTCCACCTGAGATTGTGTGTCCCTCACTCACACTAGCAAAGGAGGCAAAGCATGAGTCTGTTGAGAGGATCTGGCATGGCCCCAGAACCCAGAACCTGTCTGTAAATCAGGCTCCTACCAGAAGAGGTGCATTTCATTGCCTTCATTTTAATTCAAATTTGCAGCAGTGGGAGCCACCAGAAACTGCAGCAGAATTTCCACACTTGAAGTTAGCTGTGAGTGCAACTGTCATGGGGGTGTCAAACCAGGTCAGTAAACCTATTTAACTTAGAAAATAAATAAACAAATTAAATTCAGTGAAAAGGTGAGGGCTATAGGACAAGTAAGAAGGTGACATTTTTTAGGGTAACATCTTCCCTTCAAAAATTGGCATGAGGAAGGATAAAGATTATTGAAGTAACTAATTGTGTTGCTCACTAGAGAAAGTGGAAATTTATTTTGCTCTAAGGGGAGCCTTTGTTGTCACATTTGGAGTAGCTAAAGAATCCCAGGTCTAAAATGGGTGAGCCAAGCACAGATATTGATCCTTTCATTGCTCTTATGGAGTATTGCTCAAAGAGAAATGGCACAAACTGCCCTCTCTGCAACACCACCCTGGCTGCCTCTTCACCTATGCCTACAGCTGAGCATTTTGCCACATGTCTAATTCCCTCTAAGGGCAAAAGAGAAGTTTGTTTTGCTCTTCCCTGTGAAGCTGTGGGGAAGACGCACCACAGCAAATACCAGCATGTGCCAGTATCCAGCATTCAACTAAGCAGAGTAAAATGTCCAGTTTAAACACCACTGCAGCTGTTATTCTACTGGAAATTTATGTTTGCTTATGTCGAGCTGCTGTAGCCAGGAACACCCTTATCACCTTGGTTAAATGTCACTCTACTTGGAGCTGAAGCAAGATGGAAAATGGTATGAAAGGGAGGTATATTTCCCATTTCTCTCTCATTTCTTGTCTGCTGCTGTAAATAGAAAAGGACAAATCCTCATGGAGGTACATCCCCCCTCCATGCAGCACTCCTATTGGGACTATTACAATTTGCTGTTATTACTAAGAGGGAGGAGAAGGGGGAGGATTGACTATTGTGTTGTCAAATGCATATGTGATGCTTTTCACACTATACAGAGCAAGGGTTACCTTGCTGCACAAGTTATGTCACAGCCCCTGGGACATTTCATCTCATACTCCCATGCTATATCCTTTGTTGATAACTTGTTGAAAATGAGTTGATTTTAATTTTAGGTGACCCCTTAATGCTGTTCTCCCAAGGCTTTTAAAATGTGCATGCCAACTAAATATACAGCTTCAGTCCCTGCTCCAAAGCGTCCTAAGAATGTCATCTCTTTATGTAAGGCCTGGATTTTGCAAAACTAACTGCTTTTAGCATCTTAAACCTGGAAAAACAGAGGGAGCCAAGAAGCCCCACTGAACAGCCATCTCCCAAGCTGCTTTGTTTACAAAGAGTCTGACACTACCCTCCTGCCTTTTCCCTCCATTGCCTTCTTCCCATTTGTCGCCTGCTGGTCTTGTGCAGGGAGTATTTGTCCCTTTACTTTCTGTAGTGCCAGTCATGCTGTTTCTCTTGCTTTAAAAAGTTCCTTTTGCTAAATTGTTTAAAGGACATTAAAATTCTGTAAAAACACCTCTTTTCTACCACCTAAACTGACTTTATTAATTACTAATTTAACAATGTTTTCAATTGTCAGTTTTCCCCCAACAGTTTTAATAGTTCCTCAGGGACAGGTTAGATTTTGCTTTGGTATTTGGGAGAGCAGTAGCACAGTTTGATTTCTGTTGCCATGTCTTTCTTATGCATCTTTAGATAGAGTAAAAGTTGGTTACATTTTTTGTTAAAGTTTTTATTTGGCATCTATACAGAACTGCTTTTAAAGCAGTACATTAATTAGGCAACAACAGAAATCAGAATAATAAACCATATTCAAAGCAGCCAACTCTGATGGTTTTAATTAAAAATGCATTGAATGGATGCAGATCCTTGCTGTACTGATCTAAAACCAAAGCAAATTCCTAAATTATGTAGGGGAAATAAAATTGATAGCAGTACCAGTGAAATCATTCAGGACTACAGAAGAGGTCCCAGAATCTAGGAAACACCATGGTTGCAATACAAAATCCTTCTGTAAATCAGTAAAATAAAATTTAGGGGTGCCAATACCATTACCACCACTTCCCTCAAGCTCATGAACACAGTATAACCTAGTGTTACCTGATTAGTGACCATCTTGGCCTAAAATGTAATTTCCTTTTAACTATTTACATTACAAATACCACATTGGAAAATGAGGACAAGTAAATTTGCTGTGTTGCTGTTGGCCTGTTTTGAGCTTTGTCCTTGAAATTATGCACTAAGTGCCCATTGTCACCCTCAGTGCCTCTGCTCATTAAGACCCCTCCCTAAAAGGTCATAAGTAACTTTTTGAATAATTCCAGAAATGTAATTTAGAAGGAGGGGAGAAAGAATATTTGATGCAGCAATTATTTACAGAGCAAGTTACAGAGCAAAGTTCAGCATGTGCTGCTCTTCCTTTTCCTTGTGTGTATGAAATGCTAGCCTGGTGAGGGGAGTAGCCCATGGCCACTTCAGTAACCACAACCATGAGATGTAGAAACTAAAGCTTTCTGATGCGCCTTCAAAACATAAAGAAATAAAAAATATTAGTTGGTTCATCAGATTCTCAGCAATTTTTCTGCTAGTTTAGCTGTAGACATCAGTAATCCCCAAAGAAGTAGAATAATAAATGTGTGATGTCACCATTTCATAGGTCCTGTGTGGCCTTTTTCATGGCTCATGACTGCCAGCATGATGCCTTCAGACCTCATAAAGCAACTTTTAGCCCAAAGGAGAAGTCTGCCAGAACAGTCCCAGGAAAGGGGGGCTTGCATCAGCCTGTCCTAAGCTTCAGAAGGGGAATTCCCTACACTGCACACCCCAGTCATGTCCATGCTGCAGTGGCTTCTCTGCTTTCTGTTTGTGAGTGGGGAAGCACCTCAGTCAGTAGCAGTAGTAGTGCTGGTATCCATGTGTGTATCCCATTGAAATCCTTACTGTTAGCTCTATAACCTCACGCATGGCAGAGTATTGGCAGCTTTACTGTTGAACCAAACACTTCAACATTGAGCAAACCACTCTTCTCTGCACTACAGCCTGAGCTTGCTCTTTCTGTCTTGGTTAATGACCATATCCTTCTCTTTTCTTGCCCTTGCTTTTTTTGGTCACATAAATTTCTATAGGAGTTGAGTTTGGGTTATTTTGTTGGGTTTTTTTTTTTTGAACTGGCCAGTTGTTTTAAAAAATTATTGCCCAGTAAATTTTGCTCAACTGAAATGCTTTAACAAAGATGTGGTAGCTTGACATCCTTCTCAGGTACCAGAGCTGCACCTCTGCTGCCTTTGCCTAATTCACACTGCCCTCCTCAGGGCCACCCCAGCCAGCAGAGGCAAGGACATCTCATTTTAAAATCTTGTAGGCAGTTGCTAACAGAGAAAGTTGCTGCTGCCCAGCATCAACTACCTTTAAGCACATGAAATAGCTCATCACTGTGCAAATATTTAAAGCTGAGAAAAGCAGAGCACTCATCAGGAGAGCAATCCTTTTCCTACAGAACAGGGTCAGGGTCTGACCTCAGCTTACATGGTCTCAGGTCATTGCATATGTTTGCACTTCATTCTGCACTGTGAACATATGCAGTCATATGAGATGATTGACATGTATATGTACAGATACCTGTGGCTCCAATCACTGCCATATTCTGGGCATCCAGCATATTTTCAGAGAGCTATCCACATTAGTAACATGCTTATCTGCTGTGTTATGTATTTGTGTCACACCAGCAATGGTTAACACAGTTATTCTGTTACCTTTTCTGAGCATTCAGCAGCCATTGAATTACCACTACTGTCTCTTGATTAACATGCCTTCATGCCTTTATGATGTTAAAATAGAGATATAATACTTTCCTAGGGATAAACACTTACTTGAGAACAACTGACTTAATTTACTATATAGAAATAATTATTAGAAAAAGATTTAGACAGACCTGGGCAATACTTTACTTGTACAACTCCCAGCACAGGCAACACAACTTTTGCCTCATCACTGATGAAAAATTTACGTCATCTGCACTGTGACTTGCTCATGTCAAGGCCAAGCACAGTTTACACCTGTGACTTGTAAGGTGCTCTCCCTCTCAGTTTGAGCTTCAAGTTTTGTTTAAAATTTAAACCTTTATGTAAAATTCACTGACAAATCCTCACTCACCAAAGATAAAACCCCCACCTCTAAGTACTATGTGCAGTTTTCACCTGTACTTGGTATAGCAGCATCTCAGTGTTGGTATCAGCCCTGCAGAGCCCAGCACAGCACTGGCATGAAACCCAGTGGCAAACAAGTTAGAAAGTAGAGACCATGTTCTGCCTCCACTTTGTACCTTTTTTCACAGTTTGGGCCCACACTCAAAGTGCCAAAGCTGTCAAAATCTATGGAAGTTAAGTAGCTAGGGAGCTTAAATACTTAGGACTCGGTCCTTGAATTCTTCAGTCCCTACATACGGGTTCACAAGTTCTCAGGAAAGGGGAAGTCCTGTAAAGTTTTTTGTGTCACCCTCTCTGCTGCTGTCCTCCATACACCTCCTGCTTGAAAAATCTACAGGAACCAGCACACAGTCCCACACAGCCCCATACTGCAAAACTAGAACCCTCACTTTTGCACAGATCCAGCAAGCCAAAGTGGTTTATTTTTCACCTAGCTCATCTGTATAGAAGCCTGTTGAGAAATTGTGCATGTGATTTGGCTGTTGTCACCTTCAGCAATCCATTCTAGAAATAAATGCCATTTCTCAGTGCTAAGTTGTTTTCAATTTACAAAAGAAGTGAAGTGCTTCCTTCTCCCCCCTCCTCACCTTTATACTAAGGTATGTCTAAGGTGTCTAAGCAGGCTATTTATTCATTACTCCAGTCACAGTAATTTATGGGAAGACCTTTGTGCAGGTATATGACATTAAATAGTTTTTTTTCAGTTGCTGATCATTCCACAATTGTTAAAGCAGTAAGATGATACCATCAATTTACCAAAAGAAGTTTATCTTCTTTTAGTGTAAAGGACCAATTTACCATTGCACAGAAGCACAAATGTTGGATTTTATGCAATGTAGATAAAAGCATGTGGCAGCTAGTGATCCCTCTTCACTGAGCCTCCCTAATTTTAGTGGGGCTTCTATAGGGATATCACCAAAGGGTCTCAGCAGCCCTCACCAGCAACATGCCTGGGACTCCAGAAGTTGTACAACTGCAAGGAAGAATTTCTTCTTCCAGTAATTCCCCTCAGAACACATACTTTAAAGTGACACTAATATGATACTAAGCAAACAGTTTTGGCCAAACATTTAAAAAGCCAGCAGTGCTGGCTTTTTTAAAATAAAAAATGAAAACACACATGGCCTAAGTGTGCATCAGTCTTTTCACTTAGTGCTCAGAGGTCTCCAAGCTGAAAACTAAAAGCAGAGGGAAGAAGAAATGCCCTAATTCTGTGGATATTAGTGGAGCTATTCTGTATGATCCTGGATTAATGCAATAATGAGCTTGCCTGTGGAACCAGATCCCTCAAATTCCAATTTTTGGCAAAATCACAAGTTGAGGTTGGCATAGTCTACACTGCCACATTGAATCAGGGAGCTGAGTATATGGAAAGCATTTTTGGTTAAGAAACATGGCAACAGGATCTATTCAATCCTTTTACCCCAACATCCCACTTTTCAAAAGGTAGTTTATGTACTTTGATAAATTTTGTCAGACTCCCATGGAGATCAGAGCCCTGTGTCCATGCATTTGGTCCATCTGGGCTGTGGTGAAGTGCCACAGTTGCACAAGCAGCACGCTGCAGTGAGAGAGCTGAGTTGGCAGACAGGCACAGGTGCACAGGTTCAAGCAAGGGACAAATATCTCCTCCACAATCAGGCTGTGACCCCTGAGGCCCCCACTCTGCAGAGGAGGACAGGACTCCAAAGGGAGAACAGCAGGAAGGGCAGAGCTCGTTGGTGACAGAGCCCTGTAGTGCATGCTGTTTGCTAGAGCAAATGGGAGCAAGGGATTGAAGGTGTGCAATGACAACAGCAAGGACCTTCTTTCAGTTCCCCCCCACTTCCTCTTCTCTGCTTCTTTCCCTTCCCCCCACTTTTGTCATTTTTGTGAGACTGCAAACATACTTCTATGGGCCCTTCAACCAGAACTGAAAGCAAGCCAAAGGGAGTGGACACTCCGTTTCACCAAAGATCTAAGTCTTTTCTGTTTGAAAATTAAAAAAAAAAAAAAATCAAATTCTATTTCCATGATGATGGCTGCCAGAGGAAGCATTTTACCACAAAACACGTTCCCAGGACTTAATCTCTCTAGCTGTATATTCAGGAGGAGCCAACAGTACTTCTTAAGAGAGACTTGTCAAATTACCTTGTCAAACAAGTGCTTACATTGGGTTTACCTTCTGCTGAGTTCATACCTATCTGCAATTCCTTGGTCTCATCCATGTTTCCTCCCTCTACCTTTCTGCTCTTCTGCAGAAGAACACTTCCCCATGTCCACTGTGTCCTGTTGTGCCGCTAGCTTTGTATGGTCCTTGGGTGTCCAGTGGTTGGGCAGTCACTGTCAGCTGGCTTGCAAATTGTATTTTGTGTATATTTTATTCTGACTGAATTCTGAAATGGAAATATTTTAAAACAAAAAGTATAAAGTATTTATGTTGCTTGTGTTGTAGAATAAAGATGCAAATGCAAAATAAATTATGCTTTGGTTTTTTCTAATGGAAATTATTGTACAATTCCTGATGAAGCAAAGGAACAGAGCAGAGAAAGGACCTGAAATACTTGGTAGGTACTAGCAGGAACTGCAGTTTTCATGGATGGCCTTGGGAATTTAGTTACTCTGAACTGCTTTGTGTTTTTGATGGAAACTGAGATCTAAACACTGGCAAATTACTCCTACAGCACTTCTAGCCAA